CTTGCTTTTTTTTGCATCTCTTATCAAAAGCTATAAAACTGTATTATTCCAACTCGTCTATTAACTTCTTCTATGATGGATGATCGTAACGTACACTTCAGATTTTTATGTGAACATTAAAGACTTTATTGATCTTGGTAAAGGTCTGTACGTATCGAATACGCAGATTATACGTATTCTTCTGAATAAGCTATTTTCAACAAGACTATTAGTTGGCGATCAGAACGAAACGCTAACTTAGATAAATTCTCTCATGATTTATTATAGTTCGTAATGCAACACTGGTGAGAATGTCAAAGGCAGGGGCCTGAGGTGAAATGTTCTATATAGTTGCATCAAATTCCGATTAACCACAAGTTATGACTGTCATGTTGAGTAACCGGTGTGCCATCGCTGTCAATATATCGCGGTCAAAATGAAATCGGAATTGGTATGAAGTTATATTGATCGGATCAAGTGATGTGAAGGTTGCAGCTGATATTGATACATGTTTTTATGTATTGTAATTATTATTGGTGTGAAAGCAAAGATATTACAATTCATACCTATTACCACTTGTTAAGAACAGATGACGGAGGGCAAACTTGCATTATGGGACCTTTTGCTTTATTTAACAGAGTGAATAGATGTTGGAAGCTGTTTTCTTTTTCTGTAACTGGAACTTAAGGAGAATGTACTTTGCACCTGTTCATGTGGCGCATAAATTAAGAAAAGTTACATTTTGTGAAGCATACTGCAATAGTGCCTGAATACAACTCCAATTATTATTATTATGGAGTGGAGTTGAATAGCTTAGTGGTTAAGATGCTTGCCTTCTGATCCCAGGGTCCTGGGTTCAATTCCTGTCATAGCAGGAATTTTTCTCACAACCAAAACCAACTCTACTCTCTAAGCCTCATAAATAGACTTAGTTTATAAAGCCTCATTCTCATCCTGTAAGTGGCGAGTGTACTTGCTGTTGGATGTGAAGGAAATAAAAAAACAATTATTATTATTTATTTATTTATTTAATTATTTATCTATTTATTTATTTATTTTATTTCATCTCATTCAACAACTTAACATTAACAGGACATTTCAAATTACATCAGTGGTAAATTAATGTCTAACCATTAATAAAACTAAATTAAAATCAGAGTGAAGTTCAATTATAATAATTTAAATCAATTAATGATGATATCCTTCAAGACCCTTTTGTATAATCAATAGTGAAAATTGTACATGTTTGTCATTAAAGAAGGTGAATCTGCAAGTGTAAAAAAAGCTGTCCCAATAAAGATTTGAAGAGTCCTTCTGCTGCCTATGCCTTAACCAACTGGACCACTGGGCCTTCACTCGGATTTCAAATCTTAGAAATCTTGATTATCCAGTACATTTGACTTTTAACAAATACCTTGCAACTCTTTAATGTACTTCTATCTTTTTATCCAGTGTTTGCAGATTAAAGCTATTTTTTCCAATACAGTATGTGCAGTAGGAATTTGGAATGTAGTTTGTATATATCATTTGTTTTGAAAGTTGGAATTGAAATTATAAATTAGAATGGAATTTTTGTGTTATTTTTAGTATTTATGAAAATTATTATTGAAGTATATAAAGTACTTAGCTCATTATATAGATGATTTGCCTACTTCCCACTCTCTCATTAAATATAATAATGAGAATCTTATATAGTCAAACATAGTATATTTCAAAAAATTTAGAATCATATTTGTTTTTGCTATGGAAATTAAAGATGACTCTTTCATTTCAATAAATAGCATTTCATTCTCAATAGATATTTGGACATTTGAGTGAAACCATTTCCACGAAGAGAAGATTATTAATGTTGTGGTCGTTGACCCAGCTGTCAAGTAGTCTCTTAATTGTACCAAAACCGTTTGATTGTAGCAAATCCATCCAATCAAACTTTAATAAATTACTGCTATTGCTTATCGTCTGTGTGACAAGCTTTTGAGTCTAGGGTAGAGCAAATGATTTTAATGGTTAAAAAGCACCATTAACAATCACAGCAGATGTCTTTGCTGGACATCCTATGTATGATTAATCTACGTTTCATTACCAACTGGAATTAAAATTAAAAAGGTAAACTTTAAACCCATCTAATCAATCAAATAAACTACTTCATTTTAATAGATATAATAGTAATAACATAACAAAATTATTTAGGCCTACATTATTTAGTGTATAGGCTTCCTTTATCCTCATTTACAAAAGATCAAACATTATTAAACAGGACTAGAAATTGCAAATTGCAAGTGAAGTGCTGCGAAGTACAACTGCATATAAATGT